TTCCATCTACCCACTGATCCACAGGGCAGGGCAGAGCAGTTCCAGGCTGACCCTAAGTGAGACATCCCGTACCCATGACGACACAGACTGCGTGACACGATTAAGGGACAAACCTCGCTTGGACAAGATTTGATTGTAAGAATGGAGATGCTGAGGAACACCGTGACCTACGGCACTATTGTGATAACGTGACTGGGCTCAAAGCATCCTGACAAATAAAGACACTAACGAGATGACCGGTCATAAGAAGGGTCCATCAAAACCCTGAAGATGGATCCGCGACGTCGCCGCGTTCAGAAGCTAAGAATGGAATGATGTGGAAAAGGAGTCCTCCTGCTTTAGGATGGATGGCTGCGGAGCACCGCTGATGATACGGCCTGGAATGAGGCCTTAAAAGAGGTCTGACTGAAAAAGTCAGAGATGGGATTCCAAAGAAGGCCTGAACCTGCAAATGAAGTGACTGACAACTTCGGTACTCAGCTACGCAGAGAAGACCTTCAAGAACCTAAGGATGGTGCCTGATGCTTCCCATAAGCCCCTCGAGGGCAAGATGCAAAAACCCTAAGGACACAAAACACGGACAAGACAAAGGACGTGACACAGACTGGAACTGCTCTGCCCTGCACATGTGAATCCAATGATACAAAGTAAGCCCTTCCTTTGATGTGTCCAAATAACCTGCTATAGGATACCCATTGAATCATATTAATTTCAAAAATCCCTCCATGCGATGCACATGCTTGGACCGACTCCCCACCCCTCTCTGGGTCGTTGCCCTGCACTTATCTTTCCGAGAGCTGGGGATGTGAATCCATCTCTGATGCAAAGGAGGGGCACCTGGGCTGGCTCAGAGGTTCCTGTCATCATGAGATCACTCAGAGTCAACTACGAGAAAGAAAACCATACACAATGTCTGAGTAGTGTGGCACGTGGCCCCAGCCCCAAAGATCCCTCTACTCACTGTCACTGAGGCAGGTCCTCGGGTCACTGGCTCTGACTGGAGTCACACGCTGTGGCTGTCATCTTCCGGGATACCTGAGGGAGGGAGAGACAAAATTAGAGGGCATTTCTGAAGCTGCAGTGGATCCCTGCTCCTCCTGCTGCCTCCCTGACTCACCTCCAATGCTCATCTGCTCCCAAAGGTTAGCCGGATGGCACCTGCAACCAAAAAAGCTCAGTGCTTGGATGCTGATCCTTTTATTACTCAGAGATTACCTACAAGGACAGCTCAAGAGGACCGAACCGTGCCCGTCACCTCATTGTGAGTTGGCTTCGGCCCTGTGAGGCTGCGTACATCTCCTGCAAAAAAACCCAGAGGCAAATGCCAGTACTGAGATCCTGTCCAAGAGTGTGCTGCTCCTGTGGCAGTTTCTGTCTGACACCCCTTGACCGTGACCTCTTACAGGCAGGGTCCCCGTCACGTTGGACTGCACGTTACAAGTCGGTGCACTGCCTGTAAAACAAAAAGCCAAGTATGTACACAGATTCACCAAAAGTACACCACCTGCAAATCAGCATCTAGCTTTGTCCTGCAGTCACTGCTCACCTTGCTCACCGGGCTCACCTTCCCTCTGGTGCCTATTGTCTACTGGGCTGGGGGCTCCACATCTTAAAAAAAAACCAACTAAACCACAATACCATCCAAATGATCAAGTAAACCTAGGCCCAAAAGTCATGTCTTGGCTCTGACCTCACATGACAACCCACCTGCTCACTGTGCTCCTCCAGCCTCTTCTGTTTATCTCTGCTTTACATCCGGTCCCTCTGACGCTGCAAAGAAATGAGTTACCAAAGTCAGCCATACAGACAGGGGGACCTTAAGTGCTGCCCAATTATCACTTCTCTTTAGACAAACTGTCTGGGGTCCAAAGACAACCTGCACAAACAAGAACTGACCTAACTTTAAGGCCCTGCTGTACCGCTCCCATCAAGTAAACGTGGAGCCAAAAGCCACATCTTTGTGCTGACATCAGGTGATGACCCACCTTCTCGCTCTGCTCCTCTGGCCTCTGTTCTGTTCAGCTCTACTTTACACCCTGTCCCTCTGGCATGGTAAAGAAACCCTAACCAAAGTCACCCAGATAGATGGGGACAGCTGAAAGAGTCTCCCTTCTCTTCAGGCAAACCACCCAGGGTCACTGCCTGCAGCCAAAGACTGCAGCTGCAGTCGCACCAAATATCTGGGTGAACGAGAGGAAAACTTAAGTGGCACATCTGAAAAGTCAGTGGGTGCCTTCACAGACATTTAGGGGGCTCTTCCCGGACACTGCTTTTCACCCATACTGCCTTCAAAACACCCCTGGCAATTCCTAAGATGGCACCTGAGCCCTCACTCCATCTCTGGGCTGTAACACCCCACTGACTACTTGGAAACCTGGCTGTCTGTGGCCATCTTCAACACAGAGTAGCTTCACCTGGGGACCGGATAATTCTTGTGAAAAAATGCCAAGCTGCAGCTGAGATGATCAGGAGATCCCAAAAGATGCAAGGCTCCTAAGGAAAAGAAAAAAAGATAAGTTACAAAAGCACCTTACCAACACAGCACACAAAATTATTAAATTTAAAACCCCTGCATTTGAGTGTAATCCTCTTCAGTGCCATATCCAGCTCTGCTTCTTTGGATGCCAAAGCTGATGCTTCAATAAAGCAGGAATAGCTCGAGAAATCCCATCCAATGAAAGAAAGGGGGAGCTCTTATCCCATTGAAGCCCGGCTGCTGAATGAGCTCACTGGCTCTGACCGGAGTCACACGTTCACCTTGCTCACCGGTACTCACCCGGATCACCTCCCCTCCGGTGCCTAGAGCCTCCTGGGCCGAGGGCTCTGCATCTGAAAACAAAGAAAAAACAAACCAAAACAAGAACATCCTTAACACATCAAGTAACCGTGGGGCCAAAAGCCACAGCTTTGTGCTGACGTCAGGTGATTACTCACCTTCTCGCTTAATTTTGCCGATTAATTTTGCCGATTAATTTTGCCGATTAACTTTGCCGATTAATTTTGCCGATTAACTTTGCCGA